AAAAAAATTAATAAAAAAATTAATAAATTTCTCTTAACACTTAAAATAACACCCTTATTTTTTTTTGGCCTATTTTTACAGAGATATTACAGTAGGAGGAAATATGGGGATGCTCGAAAAAGGAGGATGCTCGTAACTATTGGTCAATTTCAATTAAATAATAATAAAATAACTATTAATTTTAATATAAATTATTAATCAAAAAATTAATAAAATGAAAAAACCAAAATAAATTTATATTAATTATTTATAATTAATAAATTAATTAATTAATTTTTAAGATTAGCATCCCCCTTTTCTGTTAACTGTATCAATATTATTATTTTTTATCCACTTAGTGTTTTGATTTACTTATGATTTCATTGATTGATGATTTGTTTTCAATTGAGCAATGTTTAAACATGTTTAGAATGCTGAGTTACGTACACTTGAACAATATTTTAAATAATGATGTTTTACTTTATATCTTGAAAAAGTCATTTAACCATTTATATTGTTAATTAAAAGTATTGAAAAGAAATTTATGTCACATCATTTTTGACATGTTTAAAATGACATTATCAAATCATACATATCTTTAATTACAGAAATAGTTTCATTCGTTACAACAATAAAGTTGTAAATACATAAATTCACGTGTGTTTATATATACAATTGTATTACTTACATGATCTTCATCATTAAAAATTAAACAGATGTCTGTTTTATATATTGTACTTATTCAAAAAACATTCATTTTTGAACCAACTGTTATTGTACATACTATTGATTTGTTTTTAATATTGTTAATAAATAATAAATCAACAATATGTTTTAACGAAATACAAAGGTTTCAAATACAAATAATAATATATTACTTATTTACGTTAACATTTAAAACATTTTTAATTAGTTTGTTTCAAATTTAAAGTAATTGGAAAACGCGAAGGGCATCCGATTTGTGTCTATCCCATTGGTGATCTCGCAATCCTTTTTAAACAATCTGACTTGAAACTCTCTTCCGTTGGTGTTGCCAAGCCGAGTTTTGTCGACGTGAAAATACCTCCAAAGGTTTCCTTCACCAAAATTGGTCGGACCAAACCCAATCATTTTCTCATTTTTCATCGAAATGGTTTTCATTGGGATGGTTTCTTTCGCAAACATCCCAATGAAATCGCCCTCATCAGCTGGGCGTTTATTTTGACTAAAATTTCCGATTTATCTGGAAACGCGTCAACAGCCAATTCAAACTTCTTTTCGTAAGGTTCACCAACAAAAAAAATCGTCGATGGTGAATAACCGCTGGTATGTGTATATACATGCGGACGTGTACGTAAACCCGAGCGTGTATGAGAGAACACGGACGTCGTAATACCCCTTTGGAAGCTCTTTATCAAATGTGTATGTGTCTTTCCCCGTGATGGGGTAAAAGTACGTGATGTAGTTCTTGTCCATCTCTCGGCGAGCTGCATAGACTGCAACTATAATGTTTCCATTGATCTTTTGTGTACTGTCATCCCATTTTACTGTAAGGTGGTATTTGGTCAAGTTAGATGGAATGAGTTGACTTGTCAATGTCAGTTTGTTGACAAACAGTGGAGAAAACTCCATTTTTTCTTTGCAATTAAGATCCTTTTCAGTTCTTTCATTCCTCCAAATTAATCATTTCATCAATTTCCACAATCTTTTGGAAAATATTATTTTTTTAATTATTTAAACAATATTATATAATTTACTTTATATAATAATATTGTTTTATAGAACAGTTTTTCTTATATTCATTTCAAATTATTTTGAATTAAAATTTACTTATTTAAAAAATTTTCGTTTAATTCAAAGAAATGGCTTTATAAAATTTTTGATAACTAAACTCTTGTATTTAAACCATATTTAATTTAAAAAAACTATAAAACAATGTAATAATTATTTATACTTTTCTTATTGTGTCTTTTTGCATCTTTTTCAACCCGTTTTTAGTCTTCTTAAGTTCAGCATTAATTTTATCGACTTCAAATTGTTTGTTGTTCAGATCTTCACCAGCCTTTCTAACCTGATCTTCCAACTCGGCAATTCTCAATTCGCCATCTCTGACTGATTGTTGTGTCTTCTTCAAATCGGATTGTGTCTTACCAATCTGGGTGTTGAAAGTAGACTCCTTCTGTTCGAATTCTACAAGCTTTCTCTCAGCCTCTTCAACCTTTCTGGTTTACTGTTTAGCTTGTTTCTTAGCTTTAGCAGCTGCGTCTTGTGCTTCTTCCTTTTCTGTTTCGCTTTCAATTTAGCAATGGAAGTTCCAATAGCACCAGCGTCCGCCAATTTAGCTTCAACCTCAATGACTTTAGCTCTAAGTCTTTGAGTTTCTTTGTCGGGTTTTTGTTTCATTGCTCTCTCCTTCTCAAGTTCCTTCTGTGAATCAGCTTTTTGAGCAGTCAATGAGTTAATAAATTCATCAACATGTTCCTTATATTCACCAAATTCGTTCTTTATCACTTCTCTGAGTTTGTCTGCATTGCTCTTCTTCTGTGCTTTAGCCTGTTGAGCAGTGGTTCTTTCAAGATCAAGTTGTTCATTCAGTTCAGTCAATTCCTTCTCGTAAGTGTTCTTTGACTGTTTATAAGTCTTAGCAGCTTGTTCAAAAGCCTCCAATTCAGTCTTCATCTCAGACATATCGTCTTCAAGTTTGTCGCATTCGTTTTGTTTCTCATCGAGTTCTGTCTTTGTTCTCATCAATTTTTCAATAGCGGTTTTATAATCTCTCATATTCTCAACATTCTTTTGTTCATCCATCTGGACGTTCTTCTCAAAAGTTTCAACTTTGACTGTGATTTCAGCGATATCTTTCTCGTACTTTCCTTTAATCAATTGGGTCTCGGCACGGTATTTCTTTTCTTGATCAAGTTCAGTTCTGACACTCATCAGTTCGTCTTGATATTTCTGTTTCATTGCTTCATTGCCATCTTTGTCATCATTTGCAGTGTCAAGTTGTCTCTGTGCCTTGTCGACTTCGGCATTCAAGTCGTTTATCATCTTGTCTATTTCCTCCAAATCATTATCATTCTTCTTCTTCTCATCTGTGAGTTGATCAACTTAAACTGTCAAGTCATTCGCCTTTTTAGTCAACTTTTCTTTAGTGTTATTTGCTTCATCTAAGTTGAATTAGACTTCCTGTAATTTGCTCTCAGCAGCTTTTCTCGCAGCATCTGTACTGTCTGCCTTTTGTCTTTCTTCATCAAGTTGGGCTTGAACTTCAATGATTCTTGCATTCAACGTTTTTTATCTTTTTCTTGAGCAACAGAAGCCGGTGCACTGACTAGGACTTTAAGTGATGAGACTTGTGCATTGAATGCTTTGACTTGGTCTTCCATTTTTTTTTCTTCTATCAGATTGAACCGCAGCAGTCTTCTCAGCCTCCGCTTTGTCGTCCAAAGCCATCTTCTTTTGTGCTTCAAGTGCCTTAATCTGTGATTCATAATTCTCAATATTCAAAGCGTCTTTGATAGACCATTTTTTCATATCCTTCTTAGCAGCATCAAGTTGAGTGTTCTGGTCTTTCAACGCAGCAACTGCCTTCTTCAAATCAGCAATTTGGTTGTGTCTCTTGATGACTTCAGTTTGGTCGATATTTAAAGTCCCAACTGGTCTATCTTCAAAGTCTTGCAATTGTTGTTCCAAATCTACTATTTTATTCTTGTCTTTAGCTGTTCTGTCTCTTAATTCAGTCAACTCGGTGTTATTTGCTTCTAAGTCTCTTTGTAACTTTTTGATTGAACCATTCAGATTGTTGGTCTCATCTTCATGTCCTAAAACTAAGTTATTGAGTTGGTCATATTCGTCTTGAAGCTTCTTCTTTTCAGAAGAAAGTTGGTTTTTATCATTCGCCAAGTTTTTCACATTCTTTTTAATTTCGTCGTTTTCTGTTTTCAACTTCTTCGCTTTTATTTCTTTTGCAAATTTGTCCTTCTTGACTGTTTCAAGCTCTTCATTGGCTTCAGCGACTTCTTGTTCTCTTCTTGTGATAACACCAAAAAGTTCGTCGACTTTGGCACTCAATTCCTCAATCTTCTTATTTCTCTCATTAGCAGTTCCATTGAGTTTCTTCTTATCAACAGCATCAGTGTCGGCATTCTTCTTGAGACAGTCAAAGTTCTATTGGAGTTGGCCGATTTCGGCTTTAGTTCTTCATAAGTCGTTCTTAGTAATTCTCAACTTCTCATTTGGAGCTTCAACTTCTTCGTTAAGAGAAACTTTTTCTCTTTCAGCGTCTTTCAATTTGGCATCGACAACAGATTTGGCTTTAGTCAAATTGTCATTGTCAGCATTCAATTGAGTCAGTTGTTTCTCTTAAGCATCTTTCTTTCTGTTCATATTCTCGGCATCAGCTTCAAGCTTGTCTTTGTTATCAGCAGTCTCATCAAGTTTGGCTTGGAGTTCCTTATTAGCAACTTTGTTTTTCTCAAGTTCAACAATGATTTCTGCCAACTTCTGGAGAACTTCCTTCAAGTCGTCATCCAATTTCTTCCTTTTCTTTTCAGTCTTTGTCGCTTTGCAAGTTGGACTGAGCGTCTTCTAAATCGGTCAAATCGTTTTCTGCTTTCTTCTTCTTTGCTTCAAGTTCTTCTTTTTCCTTTTGTTCTTCAGCAAGTTGTTCGTTCAAATTATTAATTTCAACGTCTTTTTGGTTCATATTCGATTTAGCACCAGCCAAGTTATTTTCAGTCTTTTCCATATCATCTTTCAACGCTTGAATTTGAGCTTTGTAGTTGGCCTTCTGTGCTTTCAACATGTCAGAGTCATTCAGTCCGTCTTCAATTCTCTTTGTCAACTCAGCAAGTTTTCTCTGAGCATCTTTATTAGAAGAATCAAGTTTTCTGTTTTTATCTTCTAATTCGTCTTTCTCTGAGTTCAATGTTGAAATCTTCTTATCACTTGCATTCTTGGCTGAAGTCAAAGCAGCAGTCTTGGTCTTCGCAGCTTGTAACTGTTGGTTATATCCATCTCTCTCGTCTGAGACCTTCTTGTTCTGAGCAACTTGTTGGTCAAGTTTCTTCTCAGTATTGTCAAGAGCCAATTGAGTCTTTTTCAAATCATTTTTAGTATTGGCAAGATCGTCTTTAGTATCATTCAAAACAGCTCCGGAGTCTTCTTTCTGTGCGTTGACATCAGCAATGGTGTTTTGCAAATTCTTGACACTCCAAATCAGCAATGTCGTCTTCCTTTTCGTGCAATTGTGTCTCGAGATCCTTTGAATTGTCTTCTTCGGCTTCAAGCTTCTTCTTCAAATCAGAAATTTCGCCTTCCTTATCTTCAATGTCTTTGTTCAACTCTGTGTTAACACCATCCTTCTTAGCAATAGTGGCTTTGTGTTCAGTAATTTCATCTTGAAGCCCTTGATTATTAGCTTCAAGTTTCTTGTACTCAGTGGTTAACTTGCTCAAGTCTTCCTTTCCTCTCTTAATATCACATTGGAGTTCTTCAAATTGTTCTTGGTCTTCTCGTGACTTCATATCAGCCTCATCAAGTGCTATCTTCTTTGACTCAATGTCTTCTTTAAGTTTTTCAATTTCGTCTTTGAGCTTCTGGACCAAAGCTTCCAAATCGACGTTCTTGATTTTCATCTCAGCGAGTGCCTTTTCAGCGGCTTCTCTCTTTGCAATTTCTTCAGCAAGCTTCTTCTTCAAAGCTTCAATTTCTTTGTCCTTGGTTGCGAGTTCTTCATCAACTCTTCTTCTCTTAAGTGTTGGTCTGACATTTTGGAACAATCTGAACCAGACCCAATTTCTGAATTGGTACCAAGTGTGGATGGTGTCTTGAATGACAATAATGGCAATCGTTCATTGCGTTTCTGTTCAATAAGTTTTCTTTGAGCAAAGGCTTTTGCACACATATGAAAACCACCAACAATTTAAGTGACTCTATTTTCTCTAATCTCTTCAATTTCAGCAAGAACACCAACCTTGAAGAAAATCTTGGTCTTACCAAATCTGAATTCTTCAGTGTAACTTTTGCCATCCTTCTTGTACTTCTCACAAATTTGTTTCATGAGTTCTTTGACTACTGGCATAGTATCTGAAGTCACTTCATTTGCTGTCACCTCAAACACAGAGACTGGCAAGAAGTGTCCACTTGCAAATTATTTATTGACTCCATCAGTTGCTATCATCGACCCAATGTTCTGTGTCTCATTACCAAAACAGCTATAGCAGACTGTGGTATCAATGTTTTGTTTCATGTGGTTGATGCTTATGTCCCAGTTATGGCAAATGAGTACACAGATGGTCTTGCTAAAAGTCAGTCAAATTAGTCTTAGACGACTTGGTCAAGTCATTCAACGGGGTTTTGTTGCAAGAGAGAAGATGCACAATGCAGCTACCATTGATGGTATGGCCGTTTCTTCCACATTCCTTGGGATTATTCACTCAATGGCTCACAAAACAGGAGCCGCTTTCCGTCTTCCATATGGTCGATGTGTTGCAGTGTTGTTGAAGTCTGAGACTATGGCTGAGGGAGTTGAAGTTCTTGCAAAGGCAAAAACTTCAACACATATTGTTTTTTGAAAAATAAAGTTTTTGAGAGAATTGAAATTCAAAAAATACACTTTCACAACTCTTTATTTATGGTACATTGTTATAAATAAACTATTCGTTATAGTTTTATTTTGAAATAATTTCCACTATCTCTGTGTTAAAAAAAACAGTAAAAAAACGGGAAAATAGGAATATTTTACTTGAAAACAAATTTGTTATTCTAAATTTTATTAATAATTATAATAAACACCTGATCTTAATAGCGTCAGCAGCGCTTATTACTTATTTCATTTTAAAATATTTAATTAATTATATTGTCAATTGTAATATTTTTAATATGTAAAAAGTCTATTGATCTTTTATTGTTTTTTTGCTTTAAAAAATAAATTGTGTTACCAAACTATTAAATTATAATTAATTATATTAAAATTTGTGCTATTTGTTTTTAGATGAAAATATTAACTTTAATATGATTCTAATATATTTTACTATAGTTTGTAGTTTAAGAAAACCCATAATAAATAAAATACCAAACTACTTTTCAATTAATATACTTCAGAAAGATACAACGGGACACAAAGAGTAGATATGCCGCAACTGTCGAAACTTGTTGAACCCGGCGAGTTGCGGCGTCGTGAATTCATCTCCAGAAGATACAAGACACAAAGAGGAGATGCCTAAAAAAGAAACATCAAGATATCCTAATCGAGTGTTCGTTCCAGTGTTAGCTTTGAAGGGTAAAAACT